AATATTAAAAATTAAAAAATTTATATAATTTAAATTATAAATAATTTTTATTATTAATTATTATTTACGTTTAAACACTTAATTTAAAGACTCCCAAAGCCACAAATTGCAATTCAGATTACAGACTATGCAATTTTCTTTTATTTATATAAAAAAATAATATTATGTTGTTTAAATTACATTAAATGATAAAATATCAATTACTAAATAATGAAAGACTTTAAATAATGAGTGCAGGCTGTTTTATACAATGTCCGGACGGTAAAACGCTGAATTCTTTATTTATTAGTACTTTTGCTCTATTATCTCCAATGACAAGTTAATTTGTTTATAGAAAAAAAAATAACGAGTAAATTTTAATTTAGGAAACATTTTAATTTCTAAATATTTCGTGGTGAATTAAAGAATCACCTTCTAAATATTCAAATGATATGTTTACAAAGCGCATAGAGTGATGTGTTATTTTATAATTTATTTTTCCTACTTAGGAGCCATTAAATTGATACATAATCACACTTAACCCTTCAGATCAATTGGTACCTTGTCAACTTAAGGTGCATTCCTTTTCTCTATAGATAAACTTTGAGCCCGTCCCTTCGCAACTTATTTAAAAAGAAAAAAAAAAAAGATATATAATCGTACACTTAATATTACGTCAAAAACACCACATATATTCCTTCTATCATGTCATCGCTTGCTTTTCCAGAGATGAATAGAAATTCAGGCGAATTGTTTTACCTACTTCTATGTTCAGAAGACGCCAATATTGTGGCAAAAGCATACAAATCCCAATATCATCACATTTTGTCTCTAATAGCCTTTGGTGAAATTTACAAATATTTTAATTTTTTTTATATTATTTATGTTTCATAAATATAAATTTTTTTAAAAAAATTTATATTTTTTAATTTTTTTTAATATTAAAAAATCTTAAACAGTAACTTTTAAAAAATTTCAAACTTTTATTTTTTATAAATTTCTTTTTTACTCACTTTTTATTATTTCTAAAAACAATTTTTAAATTTTTTCTCAAATAAAAATTTAAACTTATAATTCCTAAACTGTACTAAAAAAAAATAAAATTTCCAATAAACTCCACCAAATAAGCCCTAAATTTCGTTCCTTATAGTTGGTGCAGGTGCTGTGAAAATGACTTCTAACCCATTAATGGGCACTGGCATACTCCATGACAGACAAGGGAATGCAGTGCACTCGGATAGGTCCCAAATAGTAGAGAAGGAGGTTGTGGTCGCTTTTCAGTTTCTGGTTCATTCTCTTTATATTTTGTTGGCATTGGATCAGACCCAACCTGCGTAAAATCGAACCTAAGTTGACAACCTAAAATGGTGCATGGCTAGAGTATATGCATGTGTGTGCATGCAGTCACACCTCTAAAATCATTCACAAAACTTGCTTGCATAAAACATAAAATGCCTTAAACTTGAGTAAAAGTATGAAAATTTTGGGTTACAGGAATTAACATGGCTGAGAAAATCAGCACAGTTACCTTAATTATGAATGGCATATCATATGGTATGTGTCTATACCAATGCTTAACAACATACAGCCAGATGAAATCTAGGACATGGAATCTCAGGGACAACATCATCCAGAGTACCAGTTCTACACATCTACTGTCAGAATAGCATTCTCAGTGGAAGGCTAGTCTGTATGCAGGTTTAATCATGTGTTTGTACTGGTAAGATATTGATTGCGCTTATTCCACGTCTGATATCCACTGTTTTATCCCAGAATACAATGGAGACAGTTTTATTGATAACCAAATGATGTTTCAACCATGTGGTAAATCGGAAGAACTCTCAACTTACCATTGATCTTTCCAATGCACATGAATGATGAAACTCCAAAGCATCCTTAATCACTTGTCCATGCATGAAAAGGATTGAGATGCTGAAATCAGTTTCTCAAATTGCCTCAATAGGCAAATTGATTTTTACCTCTGGTTGAAGTTAACAGCAGAAGATGGAACATCAGCATGTGTAGAAGGCGGAGTTTGTGGCCTCTGGGTATTGACATCAGCAACTCCTAAGTCCGTGCTAAACATATTTACTTCACTCCATTCAACCCCTGCTGTAGTTGAAGTTAAGAATTATACAGTTTAAAGTTGTCTGTTTTAAATAAGTTCAAGGCAATATGTGTGCGTGTCATAGAGGAGCTATTAAGAATAAAGGGCAAAATTTTTAAAAGCAGGATACTATCTGTTTTCCACATATCTGTTATGCTAAAACCATCTTCTGAGAGAAACCAATAATCTGCATCATTCTGCAAACATAAATGATAAGTGTCAAGTCAGTTTATACATCCAACCAGGAAAATGGTTGATAGATGTAGCCTTTAAAGTCTTTGATACAAGCATCCAGAAGTGCACTTTCTCTCTGTCTATTAGAGATAAACTCAAAGCGCTCAGGCACATGTAAAGCAGATTGCATACAATTATACATACAAACGTACACATGTGCAAGTGTTTGTATCTATGTATGTTTATACAAAACAATTAACCTCTGAAAACAGAAAAATACCTTTTGGCTCAACTATAAAAAAATTAGTCCTCATGAAAATATATACATGGCTATTTCTTGGTGCATCTTAACAACTGTGTGATAAGAGATCAACTACACTTAAAACCTATGCTTCAAACACAATATGAACGATGTTAGCAACCTCTTTCAAACTGTTGTTTGCAGATATATATCATCTGTGCCTCACTACCTGGCTTATCCATGCAGCTACAGAAATAACTAAAAATTATGGTACTTACATCATTTGAAGGAACAATTTTCGTCATCCTCCCATCAAACTCCTGTGAAGCATCAACGTCACAAGCCATTTCATGAGCATATTGTGCCTGGGGAACAATATCTTTTCCGACACTCTTTGTGGGGACCATCTTTGCTTGATTTTCATTGGAGCCTGAACAAGAAGTAAGTGGGAAGTTCGAAGGTGGCCCAACCCCGCTCATGCTCATTTCTTCAAACTTCTCCTCAAATTGGCTAGATCCAACAGTTCAGAAAGAAAGCAATAAAGAAGAATACTAAAATAATGGTCATATTTGGATCATCTGATCTGACAATCTTTCAAGTAGTTAACAGGGTTAAACAATTATGGCTATCATGTTTATACTTTATAGATAGATGATTTAGCATAAAAAAAGGGAACAATACCTAACAAGGTAAACATCAATAGGACCCATTGTACTTCTGAGAATTATCCTGTATCTCCTCTGAGGATAGTCCGCAGCCTGGCAGATAGCGGAACAATGCCAATGCAGTCAAGCAGAGATAATAGGAAAAAGGATAAAATGATACTAAAATCACTTCAGATATCACTGCTTCCAACTTACTTCATCAGGATCAGGGACTTCCAGAGTAGTCCCATGTGGGGCCTTAATTGCAATAAGGGTTTGATTCTGCAAATAACAGCAGAAGAGAAGTTTAAACACATTCGGCTAATATGTCTTGAAGACGAGCTTCAAGTACAGGAAAGGATAAAAAATGCACCAAATAAGGTGTAGTAGCAAACAGAAAAACTGACCCGAAAACAAGGTAGGCCCTTTATGTCTTCTTCAGTTACAAAAAGCCACCTGTTACAGTTGGAAGATGAATAAAGGTATTACTGTGAACAACTGGTAACTGCAGTTGACTGAAGATAGAGGAGAAAATCTTACCTCTGGTTGTTCTCATCTTCACTGAGTTCTGTCAATCTTTCCTGCATTACTCTGCGAGAGTTAAAAAGTTCTGTCATTCTTCAACAGGTTCAACTAAGCAAAATAATTTCTGTAAGAAGGGAATTAGCCACCTAACCTTATTTGGTCATCTAGTCTGCGCTCTTCCAAGGCAAGGTTTTCAACTTCTGTCTGATGGCAAAAATTATAAAGTAAAATTTTCTGAGCAAAGAAGGGGCACTACAACCAAGTTTTAGTTTCTTTCTTTCTTCCTCTTTTTCTTGTTTGTTTATTTACAGCCCCAGAATTATCATGTTTATAGCAAATAGCAATGGACAACATAGAGTCAGATATATTTGGTGACCCACCATTGCCTTACTCTTTCTGTGGAAAGTTGCAAATCAATATGATTAAATAAGCAAGCAGTCTATTGCATCATAAGCATGAAAGTCTCCTCCCATCTGCATAATTAGAAGCCAATAATACTTTCACATACCTTTAGTAAGGAGGCATCAAAATTCACTTCCCCGGGCCTCGAAGCATCAAGCCCCCTGGTCAATTTGATCAATCCTATAAGTCCCCACAATCTTTGAATGTTTACAAGAATAAAAAATTATATTGAAGTATGGAAATCCATAAAATTGATCAATCTTTTGAAAACTTTACTTCCAATGTATTCTGTTCTTGAGCTTCTTTTCAATAAGACCAATGCCTTCCAAGACATTTGTTATGTCATATATCCTCCGCTTTTGCACCTATTATAAGTTTATAACAATTAGAAAAGAAATTAATTATTTAACATATATGTGAAGAACAGAAGATATTCAACAAAACGTATATTAGAATATAGCTCAGTTAGATATATATGATAACCTTCAAAGTTTCCGCAGCATTATTAAGGTCAAGGATACCATCTTCCGCTTGTTTTATTAGATTGACGAACTTTTCTGTCAAAGCAACTGAAAAAATTCTCTTGAATTACCAGTAGCCTCACCATATGGGATAATCTTTAAGAGCTACTAAAGCAGTATCAAAACTAGAGAAGACTAAGTGGATTACCTAAAGAACTATCATGACGACAGCTGCCAGCAGGAGTGGGAGTGGAAGGGGAACCTGTAAATTGCCATTAATTTGCCGTTAATTTTCTCATCAGTACTTCCCCAATTTTCTTTTGGTCCTTTTAAATATTTAGTTTTGCTCAATTAAGTACGGTTAATGCAAGATTCAATCCATGCATGGGGCTAAAGAGCAAAGCTCAAATATTTGTCAGAAGACTTTCAGTGATGTTAAAAGAAAGGAAATAAGTAACAACAATGATGCATTGATATATTCTCTGACCAGCATTTGACACAGGAGTTTGAGGAGTCGATCTATTGCCCTTTGTTGCCTTTGACCTGTTGTTTGTCCTTCCCCCCTTAGATACAGGTGTCTGCAAGGGACTGTTGGACAAGCTTGTAACCCTTGGACTAGCAATCCACTGGCTCGATTCAACTTCACTCTTGTTAGTTGTGCTCTTCCTTTTTAGCTGCTGCAAAAATAAAAAAGGATAAAGCCAAAAATGAATAGAAGAATAAATGTGATTAAAGATGACTTCAAATTTGAGGTCAAAGCTTAGAAAAGCACACTAAGACTAAGGGATTTGCTTATGAGTAGCTGGACTCTAGTTAAGTAAAGAAACACACAATTTCATCAAAATATGTGCTGAAACTGCTGAAGCTACAAAAAAGACAGACCATAGTTTGGTTATTATGATATATGCTACCATTCAAATTATCCATCAAAGGCCAATTCAAGTTGCAGAATCCATTGAAATATACAGAGACATCTTTCTTGTAAGTAGAAATATGCACAGATTATAGCACCTTAAGACCTCTTCTTGTAGTGAGGCATATCAATTACTGCCAATTTAGCTTCCCATAAACTAAGTTCATTGATTAAAAATAGTATCCTTACTCGTTTCAGTAACAGAAAAATCCTGCAACTATTTTTGTTGTTATATCTAAAAAGAATGCTCCTAGTAGATCCTTGTAACATTAAATAGATTGCTAAAAATTTACATAGCCCATAAAACCTTATAGATCAAATATAGAGACACATGAAATTGAACCCATAAAGACAAAGGAAAAATTCCAAATGTGGCAATTGCATAAAACTGTCTTTCAGTCCAAACAACACAATTAAATAAACCCTGAAAATATATAAACACTAAATTAGTAAATAATTATCACAAATCTGCATGTCTATCTATCATTGCAAACATTTTTCAAGCAGATGCATCCATAAAAAAAAAAACACCCCCAAATTGTCCAGCAGTTACATAACTCCCCAACCTACACAAACCACCAAAATGAGAAAGAATAATATTAGTAATTTTACAGGGAAGAAGAAAACTCACGGCAGGCCTCACAACAATGGCATCAGCTTCCCGATCGGCAACTTCACTAACATTATTAACATTATTATTAGTATAATTAGTATTATCATTTGTGCCAGAACTCGAGAACCTGTGATAATTATCAGGTTGAACAAGCGGCGGCTTCATGGTGGCAAAAGCGAGGTGGCGCCGTATAGGCGGGACGACTGGCTCAGCCGCCGCCGTGGAGGGTGGCGGTTGCGGCGGTGAAGGGCGAGCGGAGGCTCGAGTGCCGCCGGACATGGATTTTTTGAGGGAGATCGGAACGGCTGCAAGGGTGGAAAGAGGATCTAGAGGGGAAGGGAAGAGGTTAGGGGAAGGGGAAAGGGAAAGTGATGGGGGTTAGGGGTGGTGGTAAGTGCAGAAAACGAGGGAAGGAGGGAATTTTGGTTCGGATAGATGTGGAGGGAAGCCGGTTGTGGAAAATTACATGGTTTTCTGATTTTGTTCCCTATAATTTTCATTTATTCTATTTTGACCCAAATAGCTCTTTGGCTTTAGTAATGATATGGTTACACTGTGAATTTATAATTATAAAATATTATTAAATTAGTAGATTATATAATATTAAAATGTATGTTTTAAATAAAAATAATTAATTATATAATAATGCATTATAATTATAAGTTTAAAATATCATATAACATTGTAACTATATCATTTTATTTTTTTTACAATAATATAATTATAATATTACATAAAATAAGTTTACAATTATATCATATCATAAATGAGTGAATGGATATAATATAATAGTATATCCCTAAATAAATAGAATTAACAAAAAAAATGTTTTACAGTTCATAATAGTTTGGATTATAAAATAAGATATTCTAGAATTAATTATATAATAATACTTTTTATTAACATATCAAAGTGTTAATTGGTTTACTGCACAAAGGTTTTAAACTTTTTATTTTGACCTAAAATCAAGATTTTTAAATTGATAAATATTAATTCAATCAAACTTTTGTTGGTATATAGTAATACCTTATGATTGTAATTTATATAACCATATCATTTTTGTTTGTTTTTTAAGTTAAAAATGAGATAATTATAATATTATATAAAATTATAAATTTTATAATAATCATTTGACAATAAATAGATTCATACATATAATATTACATATAATTAT